CTGCAGCTTAAGGCCTACCTTTTTAAGGCATTGTGAGTGTATAATTTAGGGTATCATACTTTTATATATTGTTATTTGGTAAAGGGAAAGGCCTGCTATGAGCTATAACTTAGAACCACAACAAATCTAAGTCCAGTCTGCTTGTTCTTTATTCATAATCACTACTTCTAATTAATCTATGAGCTCAGTTAGATTATATTTGAAAGTAATATCATAAATATAAATATATTATATAAAATAGCGATTAAACAGATTCTAATTTAGATATAGATACTTAAATTTTATTTTCTATAAGCTCGAATTACAACGTAGTCAAATGATTATAATTTAATAAAACAATATTAAACTATTATAAGACAATTACTTATTTATTATTAGACTATTAAGCAATTCAGAAAATAATATATAAAAATAAACATTAATTTTATCTTTAAAACTTTCCCGAAACGAATATCTATTCGGAGATTTTATTATTCATTTTATGTAATATTAATAAATATATATGTATTTTTTTAATATAAAAAAAGTGTATAAAATTATTAAAACCGGACACAAAAAATATTACGTGATATATTAGTCATGTGTGTTATATTGCTAAGTGAATGAGGGTCCTTTGTTACTTGATCTAAAAGAATAAAGCGTGCCAAATGATAACTGATACGCTGATACAATGATACATGGCAATTGTGTCCAACGAAAAGAGTACATTGCTCTTTGTGTAATATATCACTGTTCTTCCTTATTGAAATATTACACTGTTACATTGTACAGATATTTGAAATTTCTCATTGTATCCGGATTTTTATTTTCTTAAAAGTTTCTATCTTCTAACTCTTTTCCTCTCTGTGTTAAGTCTTATTGTAAACTGACACCAAAAAATTATAAAAGAAGTATGAAAATTTTATATAATGAGCACTCCAAAGTCTTTTCTAAATTTAAATTCTAACCTTTATTAACCTCATTATTACGTTTTCTAATTTTGAATACAGTTATTAGTGTATTAGTCTACGATATTAAAAAGATTATTTAAAATAATTTTGACAAAAGCTTGATTTAGAATCATTTTATATGAGACTAATGCTTGAAAGATAAGCTAAATTCATAAACACTAGCCCACAGTACATCAGTACATTCTATAAATGCTAGTTTTAGCTTATATATAATTTTAAAAAAATTAAATTAGCTTTGAATTTCTTAAATCTAATTGTTTTTATGTATAAAATATCAATAGAAAGTTCTCATAAGAAAAACCCGTTATGTCAATCGATGATGATATTACGATTTACATGGAATTCGATTTATAATTTCGTAATAATACAGCTTATGTGCGTAGAAGGGTAAAAATCCATGACGTCATTACCCAGTATTTACAGATTATTTAAACGATAATATTCAAAAGATAAGTTAAAAATAAGAAAAATGGTACAGTGACCTATTAAAATAAAATTATTATTTTTTCTGTATTATTATTTTAATAAGAAATTGGAGACTAAATAAATTCTAAACACACGATTATATCGTATGATTGTTACGTCTTCGATATTAATTTTTGACAGGTAAAATTTATACTAAGCTTTTTTTAAATAATGTAAACTCACCGTTGAGATCCATGTCCATGTTTTCTGTGGTCATAAAGGATTGACTCAACTGTTGTGCGCTGTTCTGGTAAACTGTAGGATCTGCAGAGAGTACCATACTCGAAGTCGTCGTTGTATTCGGTGATAAAGATTGTAATGATGCTGCAGGACTGCTGGACGGACTCAGAGAAGGTGGTTTTAGGTATTGTCCTCCGCAAGACGTGGACCAAGCCAGGAGTGGTTCGGTCCTGTCTAAATTTGTGGCACTGTATAATTGATGAATGGGAGATTGAGCCGGTGCTACTCCATATTCAGCAGAAGGTGCCGGTGGAGTCATGGGGGTCAGATTTCCAGAACTGGATAGAGAGCAGCTAGATAGATAATGACCGTTGGTAAGCTGCACGTTACTCGAAGGATAACTGTAACTGCAGGGTGTCAGTTGGGAATTTTGGTAATTCTGTTGCTGGTCGACGTTCAAATAAGGTTGATTACTAGCGCTCATGTTTGCAGTCGACATCACAGACGGTGCCGGTGCACTGCAAGACACGTTGGGACTAGGCTGACCTAAGACTTCGTAAGGAGAACCTAGCATGGTTCCTGGGTAATATGTAGGTGTAAACGGTTTTAGAGTTTGGCATTTTCTACGAAATCCACGTGGTCGCCTTCTAAAGGATCCTTCTTCGAACATAAACTCGCTGGCAGGATCGATAGTCCAGTAATGTCCTTTACCTGGTCTTCCCAACCCTTTTGGTAGCTTGATAAAACATTCGTTCAAAGACAAGTTGTGTCTGACTGAATTTTTCCATCCCTGATAACTACCTCTAAAAAACGCAAAACGTTGTTGTAAAAATTGATAAATCTCGCTCAAAGTAAGTCTTTTGGATGGTGAACTCTGAATGGCCATGACGATTAGAGCTATGTAAGAATAAGGAGGCTTTTCCTGACGTCGTACACCAGCACCACACTTCTTAGTAGGAGCCACGGCTTTCTCTCCCGAATCACTTTCGTGTAGAGACGACGACGTCGAAGGTCCATTCGGATCTTGATGCCCGAATTCACCCCCAGACACCAACATATTCCCAGTAGTCAAACCGTGTTGTACTTCACTTTCGGGTAGTCCTGTTTCTAACTTTTCCACCTTCATGTTTACGAAGACATGTAGCCGATCAGTTGCATGACTGAACAGAACAGAAACGGATTTTAAAAAAAAAAGTTCCCTCAAGACACAGCCAAAAAAACAAAAACAACACGCAGAAGACCCAAGACACGGAGCAGAAGACAAGGAGCCCCCCGAACGACTTTAATCTCGACTGCTTCAACACGCTTCTCCTAACACTGACTGGACACGATCAATTCCAGCCGTCGAATAGGGTGTGCGGTTCGACTACGTCACGCATTGTAGCAACACCCACAGCTACAAGCTCCACCTTCGCGGGAACCTGCTCTGCCTGAGCTAACAGATAACAAATTGGGCGGCTAATAGGCTGGGAGGAGGGTTACATAATGTGGCAGCAATGGGAGAGGCGCAGGTTTTACGAAGTGTATTTTTTTAATATAAAAAAAGTGTATAAAATTATTAAAACCGGACACAAAAAATATTACGTGATATATTAGTCATGTGTGTTATATTGCTAAGTGAATGAGGGTCCTTTGTTACTTGATCTAAAAGAATAAAGCGTGCCAAATGATAACTGATACGCTGATACAATGATACATGGCAATTGTGTCCAACGAAAAGAGTACATTGCTCTTTGTGTAATATATCACTGTTCTTCCTTATTGAAATATTACACTGTTACATTGTACAGATATTTGAAATTTCTCATTGTATCCGGATTTTTATTTTCTTAAAAGTTTCTATCTTCTAACTCTTTTCCTCTCTGTGTTAAGTCTTATTGTAAACTGACACCAAAAAATTATAAAAGAAGTATGAAAATTTTATATAATGAGCACTCCAAAGTCTTTTCTAAATTTAAATTCTAACCTTTATTAACCTCATTATTACGTTTTCTAATTTTGAATACAGTTATTAGTGTATTAGTCTACGATATTAAAAAGATTATTTAAAATAATTTTGACAANTTAAATAGATTTAAGTGTTAATTAGCAGTTAATGTTCTTATTGTCTACGCATTAATTAAGAGAGATGTACTGTATGTCAAGTATCAGTATCATGTAGATGGTTCGATTTACAGTTCTTTTTGCATTATTAAATTATAAATATATATTAATCTGCAGCTTAAGGCCTACATTTTTAAGGCATTGTGAGTGTATAATTTAGGGTATCATACTTTTATATATTGTTATTTGGTAAAGGGAAAGGCCTACTATGAGCTATAACTTAGAACCACAACAAATCTAAGTCCAGTCTGCTTGTTCTTTATTCATAATCACTACTTCTAATTAATCTATGAGCTCAGTTAGATTATATTTGAAAGTAATATCATAAATATAAATATATTATATAAAATAGCGATTAAACAGATTCTAATTTAGATATAGATACTTAAATTTTATTTTCTATAAGCTCGAATTACAACGTAGTCAAATGATTATAATTTAATAAAACAATATTAAACTATTATAAGACAATTACTTATTTATTATTAGACTATTAAGCAATTCAGAAAATAATATATAAAAATAAACATTAATTTTATCTTTAAAACTTTCCCGAAACGAATATCTATTCGGAGATTTTATTATTCATTTTATGTAATATTAATAAATATATATGTATTTTTTTAATATAAAAAAAGTGTATAAAATTATTAAAACCGGACACAAAAAATATTACGTGATATATTAGTCATGTGTGTTATATTGCTAAGTGAATGAGGGTCCTTTGTTACTTGATCTAAAAGAATAAAGCGTGCCAAATGATAACTGATACGCTGATACAATGATACATGGCAATTGTGTCCAACGAAAAGAGTACATTGCTCTTTGTGTAATATATCACTGTTCTTCCTTATTGAAATATTACACTGTTACATTGTACAGATATTTGAAATTTCTCATTGTATCCGGATTTTTATTTTCTTAAAAGTTTCTATCTTCTAACTCTTTTCCTCTCTGTGTTAAGTCTTATTGTAAACTGACACCAAAAAATTATAAAAGAAGTATGAAAATTTTATATAATGAGCACTCCAAAGTCTTTTCTAAATTTAAATTCTAACCTTTATTAACCTCATTATTACGTTTTCTAATTTTGAATACAGTTATTAGTGTATTAGTCTACGATATTAAAAAGATTATTTAAAATAATTTTGACAAAAGCTTGATTTAGAATCATTTTATATGAGACTAATGCTTGAAAGATAAGCTAAATTCATAAACACTAGCCCACAGTACATCAGTACATTCTATAAATGCTAGTTTTAGCTTATATATAATTTTAAAAAAATTAAATTAGCTTTGAATTTCTTAAATCTAATTGTTTTTATGTATAAAATATCAATAGAAAGTTCTCATAAGAAAAACCCGTTATGTCAATCGATGATGATATTACGATTTACATGGAATTCGATTTATAATTTCGTAATAATACAGCTTATGTGCGTAGAAGGGTAAAAATCCATGACGTCATTACCCAGTATTTACAGATTATTTAAACGATAATATTCAAAAGATAAGTTAAAAATAAGAAAAATGGTACAGTGACCTATTAAAATAAAATTATTATTTTTTCTGTATTATTATTTTAATAAGAAATTGGAGACTAAATAAATTCTAAACACACGATTATATCGTATGATTGTTACGTCTTCGATATTAATTTTTGACAGGTAAAATTTATACTAAGCTTTTTTTAAATAATGTAAACTCACCGTTGAGATCCATGTCCATGTTTTCTGTGGTCATAAAGGATTGACTCAACTGTTGTGCGCTGTTCTGGTAAACTGTAGGATCTGCAGAGAGTACCATACTCGAAGTCGTCGTTGTATTCGGTGATAAAGATTGTAATGATGCTGCAGGACTGCTGGACGGACTCAGAGAAGGTGGTTTTAGGTATTGTCCTCCGCAAGACGTGGACCAAGCCAGGAGTGGTTCGGTCCTGTCTAAATTTGTGGCACTGTATAATTGATGAATGGGAGATTGAGCCGGTGCTACTCCATATTCAGCAGAAGGTGCCGGTGGAGTCATGGGGGTCAGATTTCCAGAACTGGATAGAGAGCAGCTAGATAGATAATGACCGTTGGTAAGCTGCACGTTACTCGAAGGATAACTGTAACTGCAGGGTGTCAGTTGGGAATTTTGGTAATTCTGTTGCTGGTCGACGTTCAAATAAGGTTGATTACTAGCGCTCATGTTTGCAGTCGACATCACAGACGGTGCCGGTGCACTGCAAGACACGTTGGGACTAGGCTGACCTAAGACTTCGTAAGGAGAACCTAGCATGGTTCCTGGGTAATATGTAGGTGTAAACGGTTTTAGAGTTTGGCATTTTCTACGAAATCCACGTGGTCGCCTTCTAAAGGATCCTTCTTCGAACATAAACTCGCTGGCAGGATCGATAGTCCAGTAATGTCCTTTACCTGGTCTTCCCAACCCTTTTGGTAGCTTGATAAAACATTCGTTCAAAGACAAGTTGTGTCTGACTGAATTTTTCCATCCCTGATAACTACCTCTAAAAAACGCAAAACGTTGTTGTAAAAATTGATAAATCTCGCTCAAAGTAAGTCTTTTGGATGGTGAACTCTGAATGGCCATGACGATTAGAGCTATGTAAGAATAAGGAGGCTTTTCCTGACGTCGTACACCAGCACCACACTTCTTAGTAGGAGCCACGGCTTTCTCTCCCGAATCACTTTCGTGTAGAGACGACGACGTCGAAGGTCCATTCGGATCTTGATGCCCGAATTCACCCCCAGACACCAACATATTCCCAGTAGTCAAACCGTGTTGTACTTCACTTTCGGGTAGTCCTGTTTCTAACTTTTCCACCTTCATGTTTACGAAGACATGTAGCCGATCAGTTGCATGACTGAACAGAACAGAAACGGATTTTAAAAAAAAAGTTCCCTCAAGACACAGCCAAAAAAACAAAAACAACACGCAGAAGACCCAAGACACGGAGCAGAAGACAAGGAGCCCCCCGAACGACTTTAATCTCGACTGCTTCAACACGCTTCTCCTAACACTGACTGGACACGATCAATTCCAGCCGTCGAATAGGGTGTGCGGTTCGACTACGTCACGCATTGTAGCAACACCCACAGCTACAAGCTCCACCTTCGCGGGAACCTGCTCTGCCTGAGCTAACAGATAACAAATTGGGCGGCTAATAGGCTGGGAGGAGGGTTACATAATGTGGCAGCAATGGGAGAGGCGCAGGATTTACGAAGAGCTGAGAACTTCAGCCTATATATCAGAAGAGTGACGTGGTATAAAAAAAAATACATACACACACATATATATATATATGCTTAACTTTAAAAAAAAAAAAAATTGTATCGACTTCGGTTGCAAAATATTCGTTGTAATAAAGTTAATCCCAAGAAACAGGTAAGTCAAAAAAATCAGTAAAAAATAAATATATTTATATATTAATATTTTTTCCGGTGTCATCCATTGCAATCTTCATATTGCAGATGGTGGTAAATGACGTCATAGTGGTTTTGTTCGTAGAAAAATCACTTCTCAGTA